AGTTAGTTACACGAATTCAGATATGGGATGAAATCGGATAGGGATGAACGAGTTTAAGAGTTTTTAAGAGTTTTAGCCAAATGTTTTATAAGATAGTATAGATAAGATTCTCAATCTTTATCATGTTATACAATAAGATAAAGTGACCAGATAAACACTTACCAAATGAACGTTTAGTAAACAACCCCGAATCTTAATCTTAATGTGTATAGAGAAAATCAACAGATAAAAATACATTTAACAAGATCAGAAGTAGATTTACAAATAGAATACTGCTATCATGTTTATCGACAAAAATTTCACACAAAATGAACTTGGTTAAGTAATTGATTTCTTAAGACAATGGTCTTGAAAGAAACATTCTCTCAATTATTTTAAAATGGATAAAAAGTGTACGGAAATTATATTCTACAAACTTCATTCAGAATATGTTTCGTTTGATTGTTAATTAATAAATTAAGGGGATGTTTGATTTATTGAAAATCAAAATGACAAGAAATAAAAATGAGAATTGATTTTCATTTCCTTCCGGTTAAACTAAGCTATAAAATTTAGGTTTACGAGGGAATGAGTCTATTATATTATATTAGAAGGGTACTTGCGCAATGCAGCGAGATATATCTTGATTTTAATTTTTTATTTTAATTTTCAATAAAATATAAATTTGAAGGTATCATAAAATTTTGACAAAAATATATCGATATTAGTATCAAATTAACTATTTAAAATTTATATTTTTTGTGTAATTTTTTAATTAATTTTTTATTATAATTTATTTTAGGTTCAATAACAAAATAATTTATATTTGGTTTGATAATATCATTTTTTTATAAAGATAATAATTAATTATTTTGTTAGAACTCGATAATTATTCTAATTATATTTTATAATGAGATGTTTATCCTCTATTTGATTATGTTTATCCACAGTTAGTTATACGAATTCAAACATGAAACTTTAATAAGTTGTACGTAATCTTAAATTTTAAGTAATATGTATCAATATATAATACTTCATGCATAAAAATGATTTTTAAGAGTTTTTGTCTAATGCTTTATAATATAGTATTTAGATAAGACCAAACGATTTTTTATTTTATTTTAATTGATTACTGCCTAATACCTGTAACCAAACACCTCATATAAAATATACAAGTAAAAAATATATAAAAAATTAATTAAGTTTAAAATATAAAAGATTTGATTATATTTAAATTTGTCATTCTAAGATAAATTATTTTTTATTATATAAAT